GAATTATGTACAATGCTGATTTCAGTCATTTCAAATGTACTAATATTAAGTGAGGAAGGAACAACTTTAACATCCAAGTTACTACGATAAAGGAGTGCAACTCCACCACCTCTTTTATGTAGTCTTGGTGTATGACAAAACCTGTAACCACCTGGATTTAGGGCTGCTATCACAGCATCATCATCTGGATGCAACCATGTCTCACATACACCAACAATGTCAAGGTCATTATCTATAACAAAGTCATTGAATTCAGACGTTTTATTACGAATCGAGCGGGTGTTAATCATACAAAAGGAGACACTCTGTTGTGGTTGATCAAGTTTATCCTTTGAACGGTGAGGCAGTGATGCCTTACATTCATTTCGGTGACAGTTTCTACGTTTGCCACCCCGATTTCCCCTGCCTATTAGATAGCCAATTAAACAGATACCGAGATGTGATTGGTCCACAGCTCATCACATGATATCAATTGTGAGGATTCAAATTGTTATATTTTCCTGGCTGGTCACTTTTCGGTGTGATATTAACCAGCTGGTGAAATGAATATATTTTTAATCAATGCATGTCGCCCTCTTGGGGAATGTATGTCACCAATTACACACATTACACCATTATTGAGGGCAATTTTTTTTCCTCTTGAAATTTTTTTTTCCACATTTTTTGCTTCCCCAAAAATGCTTTTTGGAGGAAATTTTGTTTTAATATTTTTTTTTTTATTCCTTCTCTCCCTTGAAATTCAAAAAAAAAAATCATAATTTTTTTTTATTTAAGAATTCTTTTTTTTCAAGTTTTTTTTATCTTTCTTGAATTATCTCAAAAATATTATTTTTCCCCCAATTTTTGTTTGCACTTCTTTTTCTAAAATGTAGATTGTCCCTGAACCCTCCCCCCCCCCCCCAAAAAAAACAATATCAAACAAAGGTTATCTAATAAACAGTTATTGACTGGCAGGGGGTACCGGTATATAACATTCTTTGGACCTGAAGGGAGTTATATTTTCCCTCAGTGCTGTGAGCTTCTGGAAAATATAACCACTTGTGAAATATAACTCCCTCCAGCGGTCCAAATAATGTTTTATTACACCCCCTGCCAGTCAATAACTGTATTATGTGTGTTGTACATGAATGTATGTATGTTTGGGTGTGTACATGTATGCAGTGTGGATTTTATAAATCTGTTTGTGTGTTGTTACTATGAGTGTTGCTACTATGAGTGTTGTGCTGCGAATTATTTCAGAACAATATTTTTAGTTGTTGAGGCTAAAAACAAGTAAAACTATTAATACCCGGTAAATAGAGAATTAAAATCATATTTCCTGTTTTTTACATATTTACCGGACGCCCATCTTATTAACCGGTATTTAGTATTTACTGCCCAACCGTGGCGTGCGCATGTGCACGTTTTTTTTGTGAGCTCAATCTGGGTAATTAAGGTGTGTTCTGGATAATGGATACCGGTATGCATAGGATAGCCATAGTGTCTATACAGAGTGAGTCAAAAAAAAGTTTACACTTAGAAAATTGCTTATTATTTTTTAAATCATCAATGAACATTAAATTATTATACATCTTATGAAAGAGTGTTTTATCCCAAATCATTTGGTATCATTTTTGTGTGGTATGTGTTCACGCTTGGATGACCAGGAGGCATTGTTTGGGAGAGTGCAAAAATCGACTTGCGCCAAAGTTGCAATGTTATATTTGTATTAATAACAATTGGGATTTGGGTGTTAATTCGGTCTTTGCAGATCCAAATAACATCCCCAACAAAATTAATCATGCCACACATATCAAATATCAACGAACAATTGTGCGTGTGTGTGCGTCTTTGCTTCTGCAAAAATACATGCAATGCATTTCATTAGATACATTCAATTCATTCTCTCACTCCGCTAATCCTTACATAATACATACTGTAGGCTTCACTTTGGCACAAGTCGATTTTTGCACTCTCGCAAACAATACCTCCTGTTCATCCAAACGTGAACACATACCACACAAAAATGGTACCAAATGATTTGGGATAAAACACTTTTCATAAGATGTAAAATAATTTACTGTACATAGATGATTTTAAAAAAAATTAGCAATTTTCTAGGTGTAAACTTTTTTTTGACTCACACGGTAGTATAGATCTACATACATGTACATGTATGGTTTTTTGTCCAAAGTTCACGCGTGACCTACATGTAAAATAATATATTGCTATCTAAAAAAAACAGTAAGATTTCGAAAATCAGATATCACAAATAGAAAGAGGAACATGGATTAACCCAGAGATGAAATTTTCTTTGAAATTGGGTACGAAATTGTGAAAATATCGACAAAAGATTGGCAAATTTTGCAATCATTTGTGTCCGTTTTGAAAGATTATTACCGATATGGGTCTAAAAATCTTTATTTTGAGAGCTGATTTTCTCAAAATTTTAAGTAAAAGGTGGTACCAACTGATTGTATTTGTACCAATTATGATAACCGTATTTGCCGGGGATAAGGCCGCAGCGCCACATAGGCCGCACTCCTGATTTTGACATTTAAAAAAAAAAAAAAAAAAAAAAACTTTTGTCGAAGGCGGGATACAAACTCTTGCGGGATACGAAGTCCGCTTGGCTATCCCGACTCTGATGCTTTCTCTTGTGTATTGCGCCTTTTTCTTGTGTATTGCGCCATAGCTTTGCTCGCGCGAGCTGAGACTGGATTGAGGTTGCTTAACTATGGCAAAAACTTAAATCTAGATCTACCAGTAGAGTTTGGCTGATAAGTTATGAATTTTATTTACGAGATTAACAAAACTTTGCCCTTCATTTAAAAAATATAACACATAATTGCGGTAAGACATGTGTTATTCTAGACAGTTATTCTAGAAATGTCCATCACCTTTCATTCTTTCATGTTCTGCTCGTTGGTACTTGCTGGTGTCAGTGATAGAACATTGGTCACGCACCCGATTGTCCAATGTGGATGCCCGCTAGTTCACACCACTCACGATCTATCTCTGTATGGTATGTATGGTGCATTTTACCACCACCAACGTTGTTTATCTGAAAACTTGCAGAGTGTGCAGCATTTAATATGTAGGTGAAACCAACAGCGCTCTCAAGAAATGCTTTTATGGACACAGATCTACTGCCAACACATGCTAGCTTGACATTTCAGTTGGCCATCATTTTAATTTACCCAACCAATCTCTGACTTGATTCTATAGGGCATAGAATCTCTATTAATAGGCCATTTTCGTAATGTACATGTAACCAAATTTAATGCAGAAGTCTTGGTGCAGTGCCTCAATAGAAATTGTTTCATTCACCTGATAAATATTTCAATAGACAGAATCAGAACTGCATACAAAAGTTGTTGTCAGGTTGGACAAACATTATGGCTTGACCTACCTAGCAACACTTATATATGCAGTTGTATTTTGACTATTGAAATACTATTATTCTTAACAGGTAAACAAAATAATTTGTATTGAGGCACTTCACAAACACTTATGCATTACATTTGCTTACATTAGGAAAATGGCATATTGCCTTGATTTACCGGTACTATGGTATGTTGCAGCAGGAAGCTGTAATGAGTGGAGACCCCACCCAAGAGGCTCCTTTGAAGTCATCCGTGGCACCGCGTGTCTTTTGTTTCCCCTACCGTATTCCCCTTAATTCCCCTCCAAAATTGTAGAGCTCCTAGCACTAGGTCCTCCCTTTCCACACACAGCCCAGCCCAGCGAGCATGGCGGCTTTAACTTTCCCGGCTTGTACTTAATGGGGGAATAGTGGTGATAACTTGACAACTTCTAGCCCTGAATCAGTAAATGCGCAAACATATTAACACAATTTCATTCAGTTCTTTATGAAGATAAACATTTGGAGTACCTTCCTAGCTATGTAAAAATTTCTGAAATTTTCGGAAAATGTCAATAATTAGATGAGAAAATCATGATGATGAAAACCTTTCATTCGCTCTAACTCATGAGTTCCTTGGTCGATTTCGCTGGTTGAAATGGCCATATCTTCAGTAGAGCTATATGAGAATGGAAAATGCATTTGATGACTACATGTAATAGAAAATTGCATTGGTCATATGTTGTTGTGAATTCTGTATTCTATATGTTATAGCTACAGTATGAGTCAAAATAAACTACCCCCCCCCCCTAACGCGTGTAACGTTTTCAATACGTTAATTATATATTTAACGGGTGTAGGCATTACATGTTACCCGTTAGCGTTACCCGTTAGTTTTGTTAATTTTGTTAATTTTGTTAAATGATCTTCTAAAATTGACCGAACGAAGAAACGATATATGCGCTTCAAGAAAATGATGCCTAAAATATCTGAAACATCGTAATTATCATCTCAAAGTACGAGCACGAGTATGTTCAAAATTATTTACGATAAAACAATGCCAAATTAATCTGAAACATCCCTATTATCTTTTCAAAATTAGCGAATGAAGTTACGATATGTGCTTCGAGAAAATGATGCCTAAAATATCTGAAACATCGTAATTATCTTCTAAAATTGACCGAAAGAAGGAACGATATATGCGCTTCAAGAAAATGATGCCGAAAATATCTGAAACATCGTACTTATCATCTTAAAATACGAGCACGAGTATATTCAAAATTATTTACGATAAAACAATGCCAAACTAATCTGAAACATCCTAATTATCTATAGGCCTACAGTAGGTGTGCGGTTGCACCATGTGTGAGAGAGAGAGAGAGAGGTTGGAGAGGATGAGTGGCTCGACGTTTCGAACAGGTTGACTATCGTCAGGAGTGGAGAATAGCTGGCGTGCGTGAGCTTAAGTCACCGGGGTGCGGACGTCAGGGAAAATGTAAATACATCTTCACTGAACATGACTTAATTTTTTGGTGCCATGCATGGCTTCAAAGCTCGATGCTTGCATATTTTTGCAAAAGAGTGAATAAAGAACTTAGGGAAGCAGATGGCGTTGTGTAACATTTTGTAATATTTGGAATGCCAGAGAGGTACTGTGCATTGATATGGACAGCTGTTGATGAAAATGATGGCTGGAGAGGGTTAAATTTCTTTTTGTTAAGCCAGGTTAATCTTGTATATTTTTCCCTCAGAATATTCTTTCGAGACCCTCTCCATTCATTACAGTTTCCTGGTTGCAGCAGGGAGAAATATTGGATGAGACGTTTTTTTAAAATGCAAAATTTGTTTTTACTTTAAATTGAAATTTGGACAGCTACACAGGCCATTAACAAAGTTTGTTCTCTCCTCAGATTCAAGGTCGTGAAACGGAAGACTCCAAACCAGACCACCATTGACAGATTACCTGTTGGGAGTCTCGTGACCACCACTTTCATCCCATTTTACTTCACCTCAGTACCATCCTCCGTGGTAATCACCACATTCTCCACACGTTTGACTGTCTTCATCATTCACGTAAGCATCCCTTTGTTTACCCCCCTCCCCCCTCAATTTGGTTTTGTTTACTACCATGTACATGTAAGTCAACAAAAGATTTACACCTAGAAAATTGCTAATTATTTTAAAAATCATCTTTGAACAGTAAATTATTTTACATATTATGAAAGAGTGTTTTATCCAAAATAATTTGGTATAATTTTTGTGTGGTATGTGTGTTTACGCTTGGATGAACAGGAGGCATTGTTTGCGAGTGTGCAAAAATCGACTTGCGCCCAAGTGATGCCTACAGTATGTATTATGTTGGGATTAGCAGAGTAAAAGAATGAATTGAATGTATCAAAATGAACATTGCATATGCCTTTTGCAGAAGCAAAGTCACACACACACACATGCGCTCACGAATGTTTGTTTATATTTTATTTTTTGATATTTGATATGTGTGGCATGACTAATTTTGTAAGAGATGTTATTTGAATCCTCAAAGACTGAATTAATACCCAAATCCCAAATTTTTTATTCAAACATCACATAAGCAACTTTGGCACAAGTCGATTTCTGCACTCTCGCAAACAATGCCTCCTGTTCATCCAAGCGTGAACACATACCACACAAAATGATATTAAATGATTCAGGTTAAAATACTCTTTCATAAGATGTATAATAATTTATTGTTTATAGATGATTTTTTAAATAATGACCTTGTATGTACAATATATGCATAAATAGCTCATATTTGTGATATCAGATCTGATAGGCAGATTACTATCAAAATTGAGTTGACAAATAAACTTAGTGCATGTTATGCCATATGCAGTCAGAGATCTATCTAGTTTGTTTTTTTTAATTGCAAAATTTGGTTCTACTTTAAATTAAAATTGGACAGCTACACATGCCATTAACAAAGTTTGCTCTCTCCTCAGATTCAAGGTCGTGAAACGGAAGACTCCAAACCAGACCACCATTGACAGATTACCTGTTGGGAGTCTCGTGACCACCACTTTCATCCCATCTTACCTCACCTCAGTACCATCCTCCGTGGTAATCACCACATTCTCCACACTTTTGACTGTCTCCATCATTCACGTAAGCATCCCTTTGTTTACCTCCCCCTTTCAATTTGGCCTCCCTTACTATATCTCTCTGATCCCTTTGTTCTTATGCTTTCCTCTCTTTTCCCACCCAAATGCCTTCCCATTCAAGGTTTGTATCACTGTTTTCATTAGGCATCCCCTATTCTTATTTACATTTTCCTTTACCCTCTCCCTTGTCCCATGATATATAACTTATATATATATATATTCTGTGTGTGTTTCCTCTCCATTCCCAGCCAAGTTTGATTGGGAGTCACAACCTCTTTATTGCTCTATGTTTACACCCCCTTCCTTAGCTGTATGCATATGTTTGTATTATGTTTAGTATATAGTATTATGTTTTTTATGTTTCCTCGTCAGTTAGCCTCTGATAAAGTTTCCGCTAGGATAAAAAAATTAGGCCCTACATTAACTCTCATTAAATTAAAATGATCAGATAAAACTTTGACATGATTTTGTACCTCCTTCATGAAAGCACAATCCCATAGATATACTTCATGTGTGTGTACTTAAGAAAAGAAGATATCATTTTGAAGGTTGGATATGTTTTGTTGCATCTTCAATTGTATGTGATAGGGGAGCTCAACACCAAAGCTATTTTGTAAAACACATATCAATTTTAAGATTGTGTATAGCCTTCTAATATGTTATCTATAGAGTTTGATAGCAAGTTTTGAGAAAATTTCAATTTATACACAAGTAGTCAACAATAACTTTCCACAATTTTGTGTTGGGATCATTCAATTCATACCAGTTGTACATACCTTGAAAACTTGTGTCCGAAACAAAAATTGTTCACTTCATAAAATATTCACTCATGCAAAATAATATGAATGTTAATGATTTAAATTTTATTATATATTTATATTTTGTATTACAGATACTGTACATATCAACAGTTGATTGACGGTTGGAAGTTCCCATCACACTTGTCATCAAACCAGACAGCTTTCAACCAGAATCTTCCAGGTGTAAAAAAAAAAAAGTAAAGTAATACCATAGTAATATGAAATGCATATATTTTGGATTGTAAATCATTTCTTTATTTTAAAAAAATAATAAAAATACATACAGTTCTGCAGATGTACAAAATCACACACCCAAAATAATGTTTATAATTATATGGAAATTACATGTACACTGTAGGTGTAAATGTCACCCTTTATATTTTGATATTAATCATAGGTTATGTTGTCAGATTAGAAGATGATGTAAATCATAGCAGAGGGAAAAAAAAGATTACCTTTTTTTTAGGTTGGAGAGATTTTGTTGCATCCTCAATTCTATGGGTGACAAGGAGGGCTCAACACCAAAGCTATCTTGTAATACACATATCGATTTCAAGATTGCGTAAAGCCTTTCAATATGTTTTCTATAGAGTTTGATAGCAAGTTTTGAGAAAATTGTAATTAATACACAAGTAGTCCTTGGTCATTATACAAATGATGCACAGGTTTGAGTGCGTCGGTAGGGATTGTGTGCACAAGGTACCTTTGAATGGTTTTAGACCAAATTCAAAGGTAGCGCGTGCACACCATTGCACCGACCCACAAATTAAACCTGTGCATCATCTGTTTTATAAGATGGGGCCCCCGAAATTGTCAAAAATACAAAAACTTGTTATTTTACAGATTTATTGGATGCATGGCAAAATCATGCGTCTGGTAATTATAACGCATGATTTTTAAATTTGCATAATTTGTTTGTTGTTACTTAGTGCAATGGATTTAAACAAATGGAGAATGACTTCAGCCTAAACCTTAACAAAATAAAGTCAGGCCTAACTGACCTTTACATGAAACAAAAGAAAGTCTTTAAATCAATAAAAACTTATTTTGCAAGCTTTTTTGAGTGTAGGGGTGGTGCAATCTAAATTAGAAGAGGTCTGGATCTTGTCCATATCAAGTACAGAAATTGAGGCTTTATGTGTGGTGCTTCCTGGCCCCTCTCGCTTCAGTTTCACCAACACAGCCTCGAGAAATTGAAATTTGTTACAGATATCTAGGGTACAGTGATCCAAAAAGTGGCGTTGTATGCCACAGCGAAGGTACTAAAGTCTAGGTTTACAACTCACCGTCGGTCTATGTACAGAAGCATAGAACTTAGTTTAGAACTATAACAGTTTGTCCAATTCTGGCGTAAAAATGTCTCCTAAATTGACGTTTTTGATTTGTGCAAACTTTTCCAACTTTGAGAATCCATACTTAATTGAAATTTGCATGCTAGTCACATCTGAATCATCCAACAATTTAGATAATTCTTCTTCTTATAGAAGTTGGAAAATCAAATCGCCGCCGCGATTTCGCCATTTTGTTCGGGATATCAGTGTGATCGATTTCAATATTGCATATATCGTGTTGATATTGCGTGCATCCAGTAAAATAATTACACGGTAATTGACCAATCAAATTGCAGGGATTTTCTAACCATCTTATAGTACATTATGTGAATGAATCATAATTGAATGGCCTTTTTTATATTCAATATCAAAAAAAATATTAACATAAATTGATATATATCCAAACAATACTGATGGTTTAAAAAGCATTCCATCTCCTTGTTTATGTCTCATGCATATCTTTTTCTTTTCTTTTCTTTTCTCTGTCTGCAGGTCCTCGATTTTCAGTACGGTATATGTTTTGCGTTCTTTGTATAAAAGACTTCTATACACTCCTTTCATTTTCAGACGTCTTGTTGGACTGAAATATTTTTCACTTCCACTCATTTCACCTCCCCTCTAAGAAGACATTTCCCATAAGCAAAAAAATCATTACATGTTCATTTTTCATAAGAATTTATCACAGCTGTGAGCTCATTTCATCCATTTCACCTCATTTTTTCATGAACGATTCATCCCAATAACGCTTGAAATAAGATTTGAAACGAATTGGAAAAGACTTGAAACGAATTGGAAAAGACTTGGAACGAATTGGAAAAGACTTGAACGAATTGGAAAAGACTTGGAACGAATATTAAATAACTGATTACAATTCCTTAAAAAGTGTAAACGTGTGAATTTCTTTAATTCTTGGTGTAAAAGTGAATGATATTTTGGTATACGAGTTGTTAAGCTTAATGTAAATAAATTAATGATAAAGAGTGAATTTTCTGATATTAAAAAAACAACTTTGGGCTGTGGTGAGTTGCTTTGAATTATAAACTGGTGGAATTTTCAAAGATTGGTGACAAGGTTGTGTGTGTATATATATATATATAGAACGTTAAAGACAATAAAAATATTGCACAAAGAAAACGGGAGATTGCATAAGAGACTATAGGAAAAGCGAAACTGACTGTCAAGGAGCAGATAATTGAGCATAGTGGTATATTCGAGATTGTAAGAGAGACTAAATAAAGGAGTGAGTCTGATTCATTGAATAACGGCAAGATAGTCTTTGTGTAACTTACAGGAACGCAAATAATTTAGCAGAGTTGTTTGATAAAAGAGGCACAGTGTGATTAGAAAGAAATTTCAAGAACGTAAAACCAAGAGTGACGTAAAATTTGTTTATAATCGAGTAAAACGAAGGGTTTTGTGAGAACGTGAAGATCAAAATAAGCAAAGTGTGCTAAGTACATATAAAAAAGAGTGACGGTGAGATAAACCTGATTACTAAAGTTCAAAGTATATGTACGTATGTGTGTAAGCCTATGTTATAATCATTAAAACAAAAAGAAAACGCATTATATATTGAAGAACTATATATCGTATAGATATAAGCCAACAGATTGCATTTTTTTTCCGTCTAAATTATATACATGAAGTTCTGAGCGAAATCGTATCAATTTGTACGGCTAACCATGTTGGAAAGGGACACATCACTTGGATCGGATAGTAACACGTACATCATGAAAGGCAATGGGGATTGTTGCGTCTGTGGCCTAGATATTCAAGAGAATGAGAACAAAACAACCTGTGAAACATGCTTGAACCATTACCATGTGCCATGTATGGGATTACCTTCTGCAGAAGAGTTGACTAATGCTCAAGTAGTATGGATATGTTGCTATTGTGGTAACAACAATTTGTCTAAGCGCTTATATGACCAATTTGGTATCCCTATTGACGTAAACATGTACGAACATCTAACGAAAGACAATAATGATAATGACCACGCAGCACAGCCAAGTCCTATAACTCGTGCACAAGACAAGAGAAACAAATCTTCATCAAGCGGGAAAAAGCATATTCCTCGGGGCAAGAAAAGACTACTTTCGGCAAACCAATCAACCACAAAGAAAAGGAAATCTGATGAATGTAAGAATAGTAACATAATCGAAGATAATGATTGCCAATCGTGTACAAGTGACATTAAAACGACATTCACAAGAAATACATTTAGGAAGAGCACCAATTATGATCGAACTGATGTAACTGCTGATGATAGTGCCGAAATTTGGAGAACGGTAAAGACAAGGAGAACTAAGCCGCTTAATGAAAGAGGTGTGTCCCGTAAAGCAACGAATGCGAATAATGACCCATATTCTAGCATGGACAAAGGCAAAGGTCGAGAGAAAGGTGTCACGTACATTGGGAAAGCAATGGCATACTTGTACTCAAGATCAGCAAGAAGAAAACAAAAATCACATTTGAAGCAATCTCAAAATGGAAATAATAAAGACCTTGCCAACGACTCAACAGAAAAGAACATCACCATCAATGAGAACGACCTTGCCAACGACAAAACAGGAAAACAGTCCACCAAAGAAAACAAAGATAACAATAGTAATAGAGTTTTTGTAAAAAGTTTGAGCACTCCTGTGAAAGACAATGAACAAGAAAGTCAAATATCTTCCGACCATAGTTATCAAATTGGTGTGATGGCTACACTTTTTTCTAAGAACAACGACATGAGCAAATGGACCTCTTCAAATCTTGATACTATCGTGACATGTGCTAAAGACGCCGATATACCGGGTGATCCACGTGAATCGGCCAACAATCCTAGTGGAAAGATAATTCATGCCTTTGACAAATGTTTTGAGTTAGAAATTTGTGAATCCCACACCGGCCCTCTAATACAAGAACACACTGAAACGAATGTACCCTCTGGTAAAGTTCCGCTGATCAATGCCCTACAAGATGCACTAGATACACAACAAAAGTCAGATGGATGCCTTGTCGAATTCAACGAACATACCTTTGTTATAATGCCTCATACCACTGGATATTATATCTTTGACACACATGCACAAAAAGAAATAGGTGGACGACACATGTTGATGCACACGAACACATGGACAGGTGCTTACGCATTTTGTTTACAATTGGCACATATAACGAATCTCCCAAATAGTGTAGCATACAGACTTATCCAAGTGAAAGTACATGACCCTCAACAGAACAATGTATCGCAATTTCCGAAAGACACAAGCAAAGATGACGACAGTGAAACTGTACAAAGGAACACACTTGCATCTACAAGTAATCTAATTGAAGAGGAAGGCATAGCCAACATCGCACCACAATGTCCCAAACAATTATCCACAGTGACATCAAATACACATGAAAACCCCCCTATCGGTGATTCTACAAAGATTAAAATCCCCACAGAAAGTATCGATGAAGAACATGTATTTGCAGATGATAAGTCAAACCACTTGCAACAGGAAGAGGGAAAAGGAAAGAGTGAAACAAGCATGCCTACAAGCATATGTGATGAAGACCCTGATGATTTGATAATACTAGGAGAAATACAAAAGTCTGTCTTGCACTTTTCACCTGTGAATGAAATGAAGAAGAAAGATTATTGCACAAAGTTAAACATTCAACAGATCACACCCAATTCTGATAATGAAGGTCAAACATGTCAACCTATTGAACATCCATGTACAATCAAACATATAACGGGTGATGGAAATTGCTTCTTTCGTGCCATATCATTTTGTGTATCAGGAAACGAGAACAACCACTTACTTGTGAGAAAAGCTATTGTTGTTCATCTTTTGAAAAACAAGAACAGATTTGAGACACGTTTGAGAGATGGTTTTGCTAACGTTTCAGATTACGTGACAAAGAGCAAAGTATTTCAAAGGGGTACCTGGGCTACCGAAATGGAGATTATGGTTTTGGCAAATTTGATTGAAACTGATATATACATATATGACGAGCAGAACACTAAATGGAGTATATTTTCGGGCAAGGATGTACAACTTGGAATGGTTACCTCTGACAAAGGAATTTACTTGAGAAATACACAACGTATACATTACGATGTTGTTTTGTCAGTACAATCATTTCACTGCGATAATCCCAACGAACAGCACAATGGAACTGAAAAGGAGAACACACTTGCATCTGATGCTCCACAATATCAAGAGAAATACACTACAAGCACACCACTATGTCCTAAAGAATTATCCAAAATGGCATCAAAAAATGATAGTGATAATATAAACATTCCCATCAATGGTTTGCAAACAGTTGAGGGTCCCCAAAAAAGCATCCATGTAGTTTCAGTGACCGATGAAAGTGAAAAGAAAATTGGATCGTCTGTTGCTCCAAAAGTATCTATGTTAATTAGACAAAAGACATCGAATGTTTGTGAGACTTCTGAAAGAAAAGGCATGAAACAAACGAGTAAAACAAACAAGGTGGACAAAGCCTATAAGCAAAAGTGTCATGAAAGTCGGACAACAAATGACCCATCCCAGTTTCAGAAAAAAATACGCACAGAATACCACTTCAATCCTATATCCTATGAGAATGCCAGTCCTACGGATAAAACCCAGTCAAACGAACATAACAAAACGGGTACGAAGGTAAATTTACAAAAAACGATTATTGCTCAGGGAACGTTCAATCAGGGCCATCCAAGATTTGGCAATTCAAGCGGAAAACAATGTGTTTGTAATTCTTTAATTGCAGTGTTAAACAGCAAGTCTAAGAAAGCCAACCAATGGAAAAGTTGTGATCTAGATCGAATCTTGACAATAGGTGATAATTTGTATACCAATATAAGGAAAAGCACTTCAGTCACAACGGATTACTTAGCCATGAATCAATTACCTACGGAATTGGATGGATATGATGATTGGAATGACTATTTTACGATTGTATACCACGAAACAATTCTAGGACAGCTATTGGAAGTTGAATCGCATAATAAAGAACTTGGTTTTTTGACATTAGAACAGGCATTCGAACAACAACTGTGTAAGACTCGTGATGCCCATTTTGTGACTTTCGCCAACAACACATTTGTAGTTATAACAGGACATGAGGGGTATTTTATATTTGATTCGCATTCAAGAAGCAATCGAGGCTTTTTAAGTCAAAATGGGTACAGCATCTTACTTCATACACCAAGCTGGCAAGGGGTTTACAAACATTGTATGACATTAGCAAAGACATTGAGTTGTCATATGAACCATTATTTTGAAGTAACTGGAGTATCAGTACAAGCAATATCCGGTAAGAATGAGACATTAACCGGTTTTCCTATATTACAAGGCATCCCTACTTGTCAGAATATGTCCTCAACTACGCAATATAGCACAACGTCTCAATGCCCAACACATTCTGATGAAAAGAAACAGCAATATAAAGCACCAAATCTAAAACATAATAGAAATCCAAAAAAGGAACACATTATTGAGCTTACTCAAGAAACGACTGATGATTTGCACAAAACGAGTAAAACTAAACTTTCCGATGTACATGACTACAATGGCCAACTATTGTCATTAAAGAATGCAAGGGTTGAATTGAGAAAATTACAAGAAACGGAATTTGGAGACCATTGTTTTGCCAATAGAACGGAAGTGACTGTGACAATAGACAGCTCTGTAGATGAAAACTTAAAACTCTCTAAAATGGAAGATGAACAAACAAAAAGAAGGACAACCAGTTTGAAAAAAGATGCAAAAGCCAAATCAATTGAAAGCGTTTCCAAGAAATCGAATGGAAAACGAAAATGGACTGAACTTGAAAATGGAGCTCAACTTAGTTCTGACCGCAAAAAACTCAGACGAACGTCACAAAGGAACAATTCT